AGTATCTCACCCGCATGGCAAAGCCTGGCAAGCTACTCGTGACGTATTCAATACGCCCAAACACAGTAACAACAAGTCTCACGATGGAGATGTTACTGGGCCCGCTCGAGCAAATCGATGTACAACGGGAGGACAGTGACAGGATAGTGAGAGTTACATTACATCTTAAACTTATTATATCATTATATATGTTTATATATATATATATATTGACTAATCACAGACACATTCATATAATACACAAGCATACATACAGGCACATAAAAGTGACCTCACATGTGTATCTACGTTTACATTGTGTATCTATGTTCACACATATGCATCATATTTTAACCTTTTTAAAACTATACCTCAGAGGGGCTGGAGCAATAGCACAGCGGGTAGGGCATTTGCCTTGCACGTGGCCAACCCAGGTTCGATTCCCAGCATCCCATATGATCCCCTGAGCACTGCCAGGGCTGATTCCTGAGTGCAGAGCCAGGTGTAACCCCTGTGCGTCGCCAGGTGTGACCCAAAACGCAAAAAAACAAACAAACAAAAACAAAAAAACAAAAAAAAAACCCTCAAAACTATACCTCAGTAACTAACAGTTTGCCTTACCTCTGTATATTACAAATTTATGGACAGACTGGGAATTTCTAGTACTCAAGAGATAACAAGAGGAAGCTAAGTTTAATATTTTTTTTAAAAAGTAAACTAGTCAAAGTCAGCTGTATATAATTTATTCTTGTACTTCCTGGCAATGTATTGCTGGCAGAATAATTTCCCCTTACCAAAGAGGAAAATTGGGACCTAGAATATAAAATGCTTTTTTAAATAGTGTGCTAGAGTTTAATGTTACTTCTAATGACTAGAAGAGTTTATCCCAAGCCATTATTAAATACATAGTAACATTATCTCTACATTTATAAATTGGGTTGAAGAAGGAACCTATTTCAATATAACTCATTTCTTTTTTTGAGGTTCAATAACTCAAGATTCAACTTGCTGTACTCCTGTATTTGTTTTTTGTTTGTTTTTGAGGGTGGGTGATTGTTTGAGTCACATTCAGCAGTGCTCAGGGTCTATTCCTGGTTTTGAGTTCTGGGTTCTAGAGTAACTCGTGAGGTGCTTGGGGGACCAGATCTGGTCCCAGAGATTGAAAGGAAAACAGCTGTCAGGAAAATGCCTTTATATTCTGCACTATCTTTCCAGTCCTACAACTGTTTTTTGGGTTTTTTTGTAAAGCTAGACATTAGTAATGTTTTCTCAATCAGTATACCACCTGTGAATTTAAGCTAGTGCCTCATAGCTGCATGCTTTTACTTATAATATGACAATAAAGCTCATTTTCCTTAGGAAAAAGTCCATGACCTAAAGTAGGTCTCTTCTAAGATCCTTTTTTTTATGTGTAATCTGTGTCATTAAACTTTACAGACTTGAACGTCCATCATTATATGCAGCACAATATTAGTTAGGTACTATAGAATTTTTTTTCAGAATAGGAAAAAATAATATTGCTATTTTACTAAGGATACAGAAGGCTGAAAAAATTTCTGAAGTCAGAACTTGAATCAAAGTGTGACTTTACAACCAATGACCAGTTTCCCTGGTCCCTATTTTACCTGGCCTTAGATATTAGTCTCATACAATTTTTTTTTTAATATCCCACGGATGAGTGCAGTCATTCTGTATCTGTCCCTTTTTTTTCTAACTCATTTCACTTAGCCAGATACTCTCCATATCTATGCATTTATATATGCAAATCTCATGACTTCACTTTTCCTAACAGCTTCATAGTATTCCATTGTGTAGATGAATGATCGTTTCCTTATCCAGTCTCTGTTCTCGGGCACTCGGGTTGTGAGCTTGCCACAAGTGTGTGGAGGCAAAGGGCACTTAGGATAGAGATGGGACCAGAATGACAATAACAAGTAGAAATGACCACTCTGGACAAAAACTGAGTGTTGAAAGTAGGTAAAGGAATAAACGTTATAACCTTTCAGTATCTGTACAGCAAACCACAATGCCCCAAATGTGGGGGGAGGAGGGAGGAGAGACAGACAGACAGACAGAGAGAGCGAGAGCGCAGGCAGGGGTGGGAGGGAAACTGGGGACACTGAGGACACCGTAGCAGGAAACGTACACTGGTAAAGGGATGAGTATTGCAACATTATATAACTAAGACCCGGTCATTAACAATCTTGTAACTGTGAATCAATAACAAAAAATAATGAAAAATGTTTTTAATGTGTGACTTAAACACTAAGTAAGAAAGAATTTTTGTATTGCGGCCACAACTAGCAATGCTCAGTCATTACACCTGGCACTGCTCTCAGGAATTATTCCTGGTGGAGCTTGAGTGACCATATGGGGTGCCAGGAATTGAACCCGGATCAGTCACATGCAAAGCGAATGCCCCACATGCTCTACTATTATTCCAGCTACTAAACAAGAACATTTTTATAAACATCATTTAATGTATTTTCATAGGACATGCTCTTCTACTAGTGCTATAAACTGGCTATTTGAAATGTACTCTTACTTTAAAAAAATTAACGTTACTGGTGGAGGGATGGGTACTTGCATCATTGTATGACTGAACCGTAATCACATAAGTTTGTAAGTCTGTAACTGTATCTCACAGTGATTCATTAAAAAATAAAAAATAAAAAATTGGAAAAAATAAAAAACACTGACCTTGACTAAGATACTGATTTATAGTACTGAAAATGACAGTTTCATGTATATGTAATTCCAACACCACATCCATCAGCAGTATATCCACCTCCCTCTCCTGAGGTCCCTAAGCTTTTCCTTTACAACCTTCCCCACACCAACAACCTCAGTTATATGGATCAGTTCTGCATCCCACATATGAGAAAGACTATTATCTATTCCTTTCCTTCTGACTTCACTAAGCATGATCACCTTTAGCTCCACCTAAATGTAGCCTTTCAACTCATATGATCATTACCCCATGGAGTGTAATAGAAAAAAAAAATCACCCCATGGAGTGTAACAGAGAAAAATCAGTACTCCAGATCCCATGCAGTTTCACAGCATCAGAATCACATGTTTCAAAAGTTCCATGTGACAACAGTGCATGTTTAAGCTTGGGAAGCGATGAGATAAAAAATACAAATGTTAGAAAGAGAAACTTGTCTGTGAATTTTCTAACTTCATCACACCAGTAAATGTTTTAAGAGTCAGTTTTCTCAGAAACTATAGAGATATTTATATTTACAGCAATACCACTGCTTCTGCATAGGCAGAAAGTTTGTTAGAAAATACGAGAAAATCACAACCAAAGATAAGTGGGATGTAAGTAACTTAATGATAGTTCCATTTCTCTTCAAAGTGCATTTAATTTATGTATGTGATAGGTTTAGAATGCCTGAAAGTGAGATGCACCTTGTTTTTAGGATAGAACAGTCATAGTTACAGTCACAGTCCTTCCATTGTTCATCAATTTGTTCGAGCGTGCCCAGTAACGTCTCCATCGTGAGACTTGATATTACTGTGTCTGGCATATCGAATACGTCACTGGGAGCTTGCCAGGCTTTGCCGTGCCGTCGAGATACTCTCGGTAGCTTGCCGGGCTCTCCGAGAGGGGCAGAAGAATCGAACTCGGGTCGGCCATGTTGGCTGCGTGCAAGGCAAACGCCCTACCGCTGTGCTATCGCTCCAGCCCTAGGATAGGGCAATATAGTAAAATGTTCATAAAAATATTTCGCCACTCTTCCCGCTGGGGATGGGAGATGCGGGCTGAAAGTAGACTATAGACCAAATATGATGTCCACTTAATACCTCTACTGCAAACCGCAACACCCAAAAGGAAAGAGAGCTAAAGGGAATGCCCTGCCACAGAGGCAGTGGTGGGGTGGAGGAAACAGGGTGGGGGTGATGGAAGGGATACTGGGACCATTGGTGGTGGAAAATGGGCACTGGTGGAGGGAATGGATACTCCACCATTGGATGACTGAAATGCAAGCATGAAAGTTTGTAAGTCTGTAACTGTATCTCATGCTGATTAACTAATAAAATTTTAGCATTAGTCTTTCCCCTTTTCCTTCTGGTAACCATTACATGATCTTATAATCTAAACTCTTATTTTATATTATATAGTTCATCTTCTGTTTTGTATACATACACACACGAGAGAAATCATGTAGTATTTCTTTTTGCATCTGACATTTAACAAAGCATACTTCCCACTGTCAACCCATATTGTTGCAAATGGCAGGATTTCATCATTTAAAAAAATGTGTGTGTATTTGTACAATGTATATAACTTTCTGTATATACACTAGTTGGAACGTGGAAAGGCACGTAGGTTGTTTCTAGCTTGTCCTTACTGTAATAATGCTCCAATAAATATGGTGATGCCTAATCTTTGTACTAGAAATTTTGTAAATATTTTGTAAAAATATTTTGTAAAAATTCAGTAAATATTTCAGAATTGAAAGTAACTGAATATATAAAACATCTTTTCAGTTTTTATGCTCAGTGGTGCTGTGGGGTGATTCTCAGTCTATCTGTCCAGTGCTGAGGCCAGTGCTGTGGTACTCGCCCTGTGCACTACTGGTATTACCGGGGCCATCCATGGTGCTGGGGGACATAAAGATGGTGCTTGGGGTCACGTGGTGACCAGGATCAAATTCAAAATCTGACATGTGCCAGGCATGTGTTATACCCACTTAAGCGACATTCCCAGTTCTCTGTTTGGTGATTTTTTGACGAAGAAGCACAGAAAAAGATGTTCATCACTTTGCTTTTAGGAAAATACAAACACAAACAAGAGTGAACTGTCACCTCACCCCTATAAGAATGGCTAGTATTCAGAAATAAAAGAATGAGTGCTAAAAGGAGGTGGAGGCCAGGGAATCATTACGCATAGTTGGTGGGAAAGTGTCTTGATATAGCCATTAAGGAAAATGCTATGATGACAAAGTATAATATTCTTTAAAGGTTTGTGTTGCTAGTAAAGAAAAAAACAAACCACAGCCAGTTGTTGCATATTAAACTTCTTATTAAAACTGAGTCTTTACAATATATTCAAAATGACATATTCCACAGACATTTAAAAAAAACTTTCTATATGAAATTATTGGCACAAAACTTTAAGAACACAATTTAAACTAAAATAGGTTTAGTTTATATATCTATCTCTCTCTATAGATATATCGCTATATGGCAATAATCTGGAATACCTGAGTTTCAATATTTTGGTTTTCCAGATAGTTGCAAAACATTTCATTTACATCATCAAGGACACAGTTCATTCAAAAAAGAATAACTTTGGTTACTAGATGCTTTTCTCCAAAGATCACATACAAGTCCTTAAGAGGATTAAGGTTTATCTTCAGAGGCTTCTTCAATGTGGAAGTTGGTCTGTGATGAAAGAAAGGATTCCCACGTAGCAAGGCACTGAATAAAGGAAACATACCATGAGATCAATAATAATCCACTTTCAGTGTTAAAATTTTAATACATCATTAAATAGCTGTGCTTTGATCAATCTGCCCTTCCCCTCTCCTGTCAGTTGCCAGAGTCCTTGACATTTTCATGTTTTAATTGTGAATGAGAAAGACTATTGCTAAAAAGGGGGATACAAAAAAAAAAAGATTCAAAGATGAGCATGGATCAGCATCCACTGTCAGGAAGAAGCCTTGAGGAGAAGACAGCTCTAAGTTAGAGAGAAAAACCATTTGGATCTAAGAAAGCTGGTGTCAGATGTCAAGCATGTGGGAAATGGTAAGACAAGGGTACCTCCTCAGTCAAATCTGAATTTTCTCTATAATTGTGTCTTCAGTTGTAAATTATGTGAATGAGAGTACTTACCACCAAAGTGATGTGAAAACTAAATTTAGACAGGAAATGCAAATAATCATGCAAAATATCTGACCACAAAATAAGACCACTATTAAAAAAAAATAGTAGGCTGGGGAAGTGGTTCAGTAGTAAAGCTCACTCATACACACAACACACACACACACACACACACACACACACACACACACACACACACATGCATTAGCAATTGTACTATGAATATCTGTTGTGCCCATGTAGTGAGAATTCATTATGAATGTGTCATTGGGAACAGAGAGGATCAGGAGGAACTGAGAATAGTGAAGACAGGTGTGCAAAAATGTGACGTGGGTAGCACAGCGGGTAGAGCTTTTGCCTTGCACATGGCTGACCTGGTTGACCCGAGTTTGATTCCTCTGCCCCTCTTGGAGAGCCCGGCAAACTACCGAGAGTATCTCGCCCACACAACCAAGCCTGGCAAGCTACCTGTGACGTATTTGATATGCCAAACACAGTAATAAGCCTCACAATGTTACTGGGCCCACTCGAGCAAATCAATGAACAGGAGGACAGTGCTACAGTGGTTGATCCAGGTTCAATTGTCAGCATCCCATATGGTATCCCAAGCACCGCTAGGAGTAATTCCTGAGTGCATGAGCCAGGAGTAACCCCTGTGCATTGCTGGGTGTGACCCAAAAAGCAAAAAAAGAATGTGACCTATATTATGATTTTGTTAGGACTGATCCTACTGGCCAGGTCTCAGTTATATGTATGAAGTTTATCTAAAAAAATAATGATAATAGCTTATATGTTATACGTAGAGGAAGAAAGATATAAATCATAAGATATCTTGTTTGAAATAATGTGTTCAAGAAGAGAACAGAGCAACATTTTTTTCAGTGGTGAAAGAAAGAAAAGACTTGGTGAGTGCATGGGTACATATATATTTTTATTATTTAAAAATATCTAAGATACAATTGACTACTTAATATATAATAATAGTAACAAGAGCTTCTGATGCTTATACACACAAAGGTAATTTATGTGGCTAAATATATATACACATTTATATATGGCAAATATATATATATTTAAACCAAAAATAGTACAAAGCAAAATAGTAAGATAGTAAGTAAAAAGTAAAATAGTAAGAAGCAAAAATAGTATAAAGGCTACCCAGCATTGCCAGGTGTGGCCCCCTCCCAACATCTGACAAAACTGAAAAAGAACAAATTAAATTCAAAGTAAACTGAAAGAAAAAAAATACAGATTAAAGAACAGTCTGGAGGGACTGGAAATCACAGGCAGGAAAGGCATTTACTTTGCACTTGTGTTTGGTCCCTGGGCTCAAACCCCATTTGGCCCCTTGAGTGTGCCCAGGAGCAATTTCTGAGTGCTGAGTAAGGAATAAGCCCTGAGCACCAGCAGGGGCCACTAAATAAATAAACAAATTAAAAAATCCTAATGAATGTAAAATAGGCTCTTTCTAAAAGATTAATCACAAAAACAACAGAACACAAAAATCAACTGTTAGGAATGAATAATTTCAGATTATCATTGATTGAAAAAATGCAGAAAATTTATGAAGAAATAACTTTATACATATGTATTCAACAAACTTAAAATAAATGAACCAATTCTGTAGAAAGCATGCACTACCAAAACTCACTCCAGAATAAATTAGCCAAATGTATTCGAATATGACTTGAATATCATCCCACAAAGAAAACTCCAGGTTCTGTCTTCACTGTTGAATTCTGTCATACACTTAAAAATGAAATCTTAACTCTACACAAAATCTTGGGCTGGAGCAATAGCACAGTGGGTAGGGCATTTGCCTTGCACATGGTCGACCGAGGTTCGATTTCTCCATCCCTCTCGAAGAGCTTGGCAAGCTACCGAGAGTATCCTGACTGCACGGCAAAACCTGACAAGCTCCCCATGGCATATTTGATATGCCCAAAATAGTAACAATTCTCACAACGGAGACCTTACCGGTGCCACCTCGAGCAAATTGATGAACAATGGGAGGACAGTGCTACAGTACTACAGAAAGACTTCCAAAAAATTAAAGATACAAACATACTTGTAAACTTCACAAAAGCGAAGATATTACAAAAGAAAAGTATAGGACAATGTTCCTCATAAATACGGAAGCAAAAGTTTAAGAATTTTAGCAAATATTTTGATTGTTGATCAAAATCACAATCTATACAACATGATAAAATAAGGCTTATCCCAGGAATATAAGATTAGAATAACTTTAGAACCTCAATATAACCGATTAATATATCTTATTCAAAATATCTCAAAATACAGAAAAGACATTTTCATATTACAATGTGGATTTCTGATGAAAAGTATTACAATTTGGAATTGTAAGAGAACTTCCATAATCTGAGGAACATTTAAATACCTATAGCTATCACCATATACAGATACTGTAAATATCAGCTGATATTTGTAATTCTTTTTTTGTTATTAAGAAAATAAACTATAGGGGCTGCAGTGATAGCACAGGGGTAGGGCATTTGCTTTGCATGCAGCCGACCCAAGTTCAATTCCCAGCATCCCATATGGTCCCCCAAGCACTGCCAGGAGTCACTCCTGAGTGCAGAGTCAGGAGTGTGCATCACTGGGTGTGACCCAAAAAGCAAAAATAATGACTTAAAATTAAAAAAATAAAATAAACTATAGAATAGTTTTCTAGATTTAATTCTTTTACCAAATAATGATACTAAAGAAGAAAATATAAAAATCAAATGAAACTTTAAAACTATCCACAGCTAAAGAAATTAACTGGGGTTGAAGGGCTGATAGTAAGGGAATAGAATCATATTTCACATTGGAGGAAGGGTGCAAGAAGCATTTCTACTATAGCTCTCTGGCCACAGCACTGCAAATCGACACATAATCTACTATCTGGTAAACTGAAGGGCAGCCTAAAGCAATTACTAGATTCGGGAGATAGCCTATCTTTTCCACAACATTGTCAAGCTATCACTTAAGTAAACTTATGAACATCCTCAAGGCAAAAATTCAAATTGAAATTCTAAGCAGTCTACTTAACACTCCTGTCTTATAAGCAATCTAAATTGCACCAAACATGGCATTTACTCCTCAAGTGAATAAACTTCCATGGTTGTCATATTTCTGCTTTGCCTTCCTAGTTTAATAAGCATTTAAGGAAGATATTCAGTAGCTATCCCTGATGATTAGTGTTATACATGAACATTTTCATTTCTGAAATGTATCCTAGAAGTTAAGCAGCAGTTTCAATAGCAGAGTAGGAAATTATCTGACCATCTAAAACATGTTTTCAATTAGGACTACAGATCATTAGCATAAAATGACAACTGAAATAATAAGACAACAGCCATATAATGATAAAAAATACTTCGTCAGGCATTTTTTTTTTAATAGTAGCAGTACTGTTTAAGTTCTGTTGAAGGGGGAGTACCTGTCACTAGTGTTTAAGGCAGGTGCTTGGAGCCATCTCATAGAGGTCAATCCAAAGCAAGAGGTGCTAAGAGACCACTGGAGCCATACCCACTGGTGTTAGGGGCACCAAGAGTCTGGCTATGGGATATGGAATTGGGGTAATGCAATTGCTACCAATTTTCACTACTGTGAGGTCAAAAACTGAACATCTGCGTCCATTAAAACAGGGCTTGGGAGCAATTCCTGGCACCATGTTTGGGGGTCACTCCCATTCACACTTAGGGAACCATACGTAGCCATCTCTTGCTGGAGATCCTGGCGTCGGTAACCAAAGCATGCAGTCCACCCACTGAGCTATCTCAGTGGACGAACAACCTGGGTTTGATCCTGGACACCACATATAGTCCCCCAGGTCTGCTGTGAGCGATTCCTAAGCACAGAGCCAGGAATAAGTCCTATGCACTGCCAGATGAGTCCCCATAAAAAATATAAAACAAACAAACAAACAAAAAACAAGAATAAAATTGGTTATTAGCATTCTTTAAATTTCTCTCTTTCGATGAATGTGAAAACTAAATAAAATATCAAGAAATGAAGTGCTGATACTATGTAGTTCAATAATTTAATTGAGGATGTCCAGGATTTGGGACAACTAAAGGACATAAAGAATCATCAAAGCAAAACAAAAGAAAACAAATCTAAGATGGTTGACATTTGCTTACAACAATAACATATTTTTCAAAAGATATTTCTACTCAGAGAAGGGAGTTACTGAGGATGCTTATGGAGCTAAAAGAAACCATGGAAAGCAATGCCAATAAAAGACAAGAGGAGTTGAAGGTAGAAATGAGAAAAATGAAAACGAAATGTCAGACCTGAAAAACCTGGTAGGCGAATTGAAAAACTCAGTGGAAGAGTTTTACTCAAAGTAAAGCTGTTACTCAGAGTAACAGCTGCTGAAGGTAGAATCAGTGAGCTCAAAGATGAAGTCCAGATTATCTCCAGAAAAGAAAAGAAAATGGAAAAGGGACTCACAATTCGGGAAAAGAGGGAGAGAAGATCATGATGAAGCCAAGAGAGGTAACATAAAAATTATTGGGGTCCCAGAGGGACATGAAGAAAACCCTGATGAAGAAGAAACTGTCAAAGACATCATTGCTACAATGTTTCCAGAG